CGAAGATATTCCACACAATTGTCTAGTACCAAATTTAACAAGGCGTCATATCCTTTGAGAATTCCAGCAGCTGTAACAATTCAGTTATGCTTCAACTGCTGGTCATAGTGAGAAAAAAAATGGTGAAAGAGCCAAAGTGTCACGAACCTTCTCTTCCTCCCTGGAACTTGACCCGTATTTTCTTATCAATAAAGCGAGACAGGTCGACAATGGATTCTTTCTTTTTTCGTGTGCCTTCGTCCTTGTTCTGAAAAGTTCATGTAAGGAAAGGTTAACTGAAAATCAAACCCTCTGAACAACATACCTGATGTTGAGTGCTTGACATTTTTTAGGGATAAGGTTTAAAAAATTAACGAAACAAAATCGACAGCCTCCGGAATACTCTAGACTCTGGAAAACTGTGTCGTTATGCAAAAGCAAAAAAAAACAACAACAAAAGCAGCTGGGATAAAGATGAGTGACAAAAACTGTCTAAATTGAGGGAAGAGTGACCACTCAATATATAATTCGACCAGAGCCGCTTTCAAATTTTGTTCCAGGTGTTTTTTTGAAGAGCCACACGTGCACTTGCACTTGCCTAGAGCGCGTTTGTCGAACAAAGGATTGAGGATCATTCCTCACCAGGATAGCCAGCGCCTGTGACAAGCGTTGTGGACTTGATGATTTCCCTTCATCCAACAGCATTTTTCCACATCGCAAATTTTCAATAAGAACAACTCGCAAATCCAGAGAGTGCGTGCAATGCGATGCCATGCGGACAAGAGGGCGCAGAGAAAAAGGGAAGATCGACGCGTTTCAAAGGATTGAGTTCAAGTTGTAGTTGTAGACCGTCAACTGAGAGTAGGAGATTCGGAGAACAGGGAGTTGCGCGCGAAAGAATGAGATCTTGTCGTCCTCTCCAACCTCTTCAATCGCGCCAGCTTTCTGTTTTTCTCTGCGCTCTCTAGTGGCACTCTGTGGTCATGGTGACCCCACACTTTCAGACTTTTCACAAATTATAAGGGGCACA